TACCGGTAGCTCGCCACCCTATCCAGTACCTCCGCCTGATCCGGTAAGTATGAACAGATTAGAGTTGAGGAGGCAGATGTACACAAAACACTATTCAATACCCCAGACGGGTTGATGGAATCGTTAGTACTCCAGCAGGGGGACTGTAATGGACCCGCAACATACCAAAACCTCATGAACTATCTATTCGCGTCATATATAGGCGTATGGATGGATGTGTACCTAGATGACATTGTTATCTATTCAAACACACTGGAAGAACACATAGAGCATGTACGCACCATCTTCGCGATCCTAAAGCGGGAGAAACTGTTCTTGAACCCAAAGAAGATGCAATTTTTATCGCAAGAGCTGGAATTGCTAGGGCATCGGATCACAGACGAGGGGATTAGGATGGACCCACACAAGGTGGACAATATCGCCAAATGGCCGACACCCACAAACAAGGAGTTGCTGATGCAATTTATCGGCGCGGTTGGGTACCTGGCAGACGGCATCAAGGCCGTCCGCATCACGATGGCAGTGCTGAACCGAAGAATAGGATCGACAAAGTTATGGGAGTGGGGACCAACAGAGCAGAGAGCATTTGACAAGGTTAAGAGGTTGGTCGAGGAGCATAGGAGCGCCACAAGGAGACCGCTTGACGTAAAAGAAGGGGCCCCACCCATTTGGTTGGTGACTGATGCATCAATGACGGGTGCAGCCGGACATATATGCCAGGGACCAGACTGGAAGACCGCCCAACCGGTTGCATTCTGGTCGGGAAAGTTCACGTCAGCAGAACAGGTCTATCCTACACACGAGCAGGAGCTGCTAGCGATAGTCCAATCGCTTAAAAGATTTAGACATTACTTACTAGGGGCAAAATTTAGGATTGTGACCGATCATGAGAAACTTTCCAGTTTCATGACTCAAAAAGATCTATCGAGGAGACAAGTGCGCTGGCTGGAAACGTTGAGCGACTTCGATTTCGAGATAGAATACTCACCCGGCAAGCTGAATATATTTGCGGACGCGCTTTCGCGCATCTACTCCACTGCCTGCGACTTGAAGCACCCGTGAGTATCGCGATCGTCGCGACAAACGTCTCCGGATCGTTATGTGGTGGCTGGCCTTTTCCAATCGGTAGACTCGACACCTCCAGGACACCCATTGCCTCAAGGTATTCTGTCAATGCCTCCAAGTCTTGCACTTGTTCGAATGGTTCCCATGTGACATCCCCGTTCTTCCATTCCAGCTCGAATAACGATTCCTTTCCATGCCGGTAGTGGCTCTTGATGCGTTCGACCTCCCAGGTCCCTTCGTCGCCACCAAAGGCTGCCAGCTGCTCGAACTGTCGACCCGGAAATCGCGTATCACAGTTTGGTTCGTAGATACGGAGTAACGATGCGTGGAATGCGTTATGAACGCCCCTTTCCTTGAGGTAATTTGGCAGGTCCAACTTGTACGTCGTCCCTTCCACAATTTCTCCTGTCACTGAGAATGGTCCGATAAATTTTGGCACTAGTTTCCTTGATTTGCCCTTCGGCAATTTCAAGTTTTTCGTGCTAAGGTACACCAAGTCCCCGGTCTTTATTGGACAGGGTCGCCGATATCGGTTCGCGAGTCGCACCTGCTTCACCCGCTTTTCCAATATGGCGTCGTGCGCCTGCATAATGGCATCTTTCATCCGCTGCGCGAAGGCGTGTACTCCTGGATATTCATCTTTGTCGGCATTATTCCATATCAGTGGTCTCGGACGGTATCCAAAATTTAAGAAAAATGGTGAGAACCCGGTGGTCTCTGATCGTGCCGCGTTCATCGCCCATTCGATCGCTGGTAAACGCTCAATCCATCTCGCGTCCCTTCCACCTATAGCCTGCACTAACATTTGCATCATCGTGCGGTTTGCCCTTTCTGTTGCTCCGTCGGTTTGTGGATGGTATGTGCTACTCTTTTTCAATTGCACCCGCATTAGCTGATGAAGACGCTGCCAGAATGTTGACGTGAAAATCTTATCCCTGTCGGACACGATTCTTTCTGGCAGGCCGTGGAGCTTGTAGACCGTTTCGTAGAAGACTTCCGCTACCTGGCGCGCGCGATATATCGTGCGTGTAGCCGTTAGGTGGACCATACTCGTTAGGTGGTCTATGACGACCATCACCTGGTCGAACTCGCCATATTTACTTTTGGCTAATGGTAGTGGCCCTACGAAATCTACACCGACTTGTTCCCATGGGCGCTTGGGTACCGGCAGTGGGTGAAGGAGGCCCATAGGCGTCTGATTGGAGGATTTTGTGCGCGCACACACCTCGCAGGTCTTACAATAGTCTGCAATATCCTTAATCATCTCCTTCCACCACACATTCTCCCGGAGGTACCATAATGTCTTTCTCGACCCCAAGTGTGCTAGGATCGAGTGGGCGTGGGATATCACTATTTCCCTTACTCGCCGCTGCCCCATCTTGATATCAGGTATGCACAAGATTCTTCTTTCTCCCGCTCTCTGGTACACTAACTCCTTCCCAGGTTCTCCAACCACTTCGAAGTTTGTGTAATGCTTCGGTTTCTCAAGCACTATCTTGAAGAATGAATCCTCCCCATAGCGTCCTTGGAGATCGTTGGGTAAGTCATACTCATTTATGACGTCCGTTAGTTGTGCTTCCACTACTCTTTCTATGGGCGTTGGCTCTCCGACCCGTGCGTTCACGTGCCCTTCCTCTAGTTCATGTGCTACCTCCTCCATTTCACTGATCAACTCTTGTTGTCTCTCATGATTTAGTTCGGTAGATGCCTGTGACTCGTAGTCACTGGGCTTCTCCTCCTCCGACTCCGGGCTCAACTCGGGGTCATATGATTCTGGTGACTTCGGCGGTCTCGACCGCGGCGGCTCCTTCGCTCCTTGGTTGGCTTCTCCCCTGGGAAGTTCATGGTCATGACCGTCTACCATTTTTTTTGGTCTACCTCTCTTCCGCTGGGTTTTCAAGCTAGCTGTAGGCTCTGGCTCAGGTGAGTTGTGCGCCCTCCGCTTCCTCTCTTGGGTTTGCGCATAACTGACATCCTCCTTTGCCGCTCGCTTTAATCGCGCTCTAGTCCTTATCTCCATGTTCATGAGTGCTAATGCCATCTCGGCTGCCACTCCTTCGCCAAACACTACTGGGCTGCTAGGCAATACAGATGTATCGACATACATCAATTTCATGGGTGAGTCTCCTTCGTCCTCATCCACTCTATCCTTGCCTGTTACATACTCGCCTTGGCTTCTGACCGTGCCCACCCCTTCATTAGAGTAGATGCGCGAAAGCGCGTCCGCAAATATATTCAGCTTGCCGGGTGAGTATTCTATCTCGAAATCGAAGTCGCT